TCTAGTACTTATTTCACAGATTTCAGCTTCTACTTCCATGTTAATATGCTCTGTCCTTCCCATCACTGGTGTGGCCTCATTTCTACACTGTGAGGTCTGTCCTGCAATCTCCAGTTTGGGTTAAGTTTTCACATATGTCTCTTTACCTGTCTGCAAACCACCCCTGTTAGAAGAAGCTGTTTTGACCTACTGGTAGACTGCTGCAAAATGAGATGGAGAAAGGTGTATGCTCTACCTTCACTTTATTGTTATTTTTATCTTCGTTTATCTACTGAGTAAGGATCAAATGTGATCTTGTTATTTGTGTTCTTATATAAAACACACTCTTCTCAGAAGAGTTCAACTGTTCAACTCCAAAAATGTTATAATGCATCAGGCTGTGTAAACAAGAAGGTCAAGACAAGAGCCATAGAAATTGTTTACTGACCCTTTCAGGTGCCTTGAGGTTGTGAGAGATTTCTCTACTGGATACTGAACTTTCTGGTATATTCCAATTGACTGTACTGGACAGTTAAACTCACTCTGAAAATTAAGGAGAAAAATTGGTTAGTTTTATCTGGAACTATATTGTTCTTTAATTACTTAGAATAGTATATGGAAGAGTAATACCAAAGCCTACTTGTGTGAAAGGAAATGATGAAAATTGTTCTAACAGTATATTGGAAAGTCTTAAAGAGTTCAGATGTGAACCCCTCCTTGGGCTAGGGAGAAGGAATGGAACTCCATTACACTCTGAAATTACACTGTGGAATTTATTTATTTTAAGAATTTGGTGAGTGACACAATAATAGCTGCAGACTTGTCAACATTAATTACCAAGGTTTTGCAGTAGTTATAAAAGATACTACTGTAGGATAAGAGAATATGGAAGGCTTTGTGTGCCATTTTATGCCAGCTTTGCTTACCTAAGCTGTTTAACAAATGGTAGGTGTAAAGAAAGTGAATTCATTTTTGCAGCATCATACTTCAGGTTTCTTGTTACCAACAGCGCAAGGGAGTTTATTTGAATTAAAAATGTTTTCATTCACTAGAATTAAGTAACTTGAACGTCTTGGGCTTTCTGAGGTTTGGTTTTGTAAAACAACATTAATTCATTCTCCTACCGAGGGATCATTTTGAATTACTAGAAGCAAAAGTGTGAGTAGTTCTTTTACATTTATGCGAAGATAATAGCCAAGATTGTCTTCCAAAGGGAATATGCACACTTGTGCTGTGTGTCTGTTCTTAACACTGTCTGAACCTGTTGGATACTTTCAGCGAAACATAAAAAGTAGGTGAAGCCCCTGAGATCAGTTGTGTTTGTATGAGTTTTTGGGAAAAGACAGCTATGCATGGGAGACATCCCATGAATGTCCTTTCTGAGGAAAAGGCTGCCCAAAACAGAACAAAAAGGTCAGCTGTATGCCTAGATGCCAGAGAAGCTAGTTGGGCCTCGCTCTTTCTCACTTCTTTGGATATCCTACCTGTATAAAAAGGTTCAGTTAACCTGTATAAAAAGGTTCAGAATTCTGTCAGGGAATTTTGTGAGGTTAATGGTGTCCTGTGCTTTTCCAGTGGCTCTTTCTGCTGCTTGCTAGTTTTGTTTTGTTTTCTCATGGTGCCTGCTAGAAGATGTTTCTTTGGAGTTTTTATTTTCCTTTCTCAAAACTTCAATTTCAAATACGTAGAAAGATATCAACGGGACTGTAAGATCAATCTTCAGGTTACACTTCAGCAGTAATCCTTATTTTGCAGTTCTAACAACAGTTATGAAATTTTCCTGAAAAATTGAAAGATGAATTTTCAGTGTTTTGTCTCTTAGGACTTTTTTACGTGTAAGACCTTCTCTCTTTTTCCTTCCTTTCTTTTATATATAGCAATTTTCTCCCATGAGGTATCCAATTCAAAGGTATGTGTTCTCACGCCATAATTTCCTTTTTCAGTTGTAATTGTAGTTGTAGGACTTGTATGTTAAGACCCCCCCCCAAGTCAGTGCTCTCTTTCCTACCTGTCAGTTAGTTATTGGTAAGCATCTATATTTGTTCAATTTTGCTCTTCGGTCACCTTGTTAGACTGCCTTAGCGTAAATTGCCTTCGGAGGTGCCTGACTTGATAATTGCGATAGATGTGTGTGATGCCAGTTTACCCGTAGCAGCTTCTGTTGGTCAGTTGTACTGCAATGACTTGTGAAGGCATGGTAACTTGCTTGTTATTTTCCCCACATTATGGACTTTGTTGATCTGTATTGTGTATGTTCTGTTTATGTTTTGTTCTATTATTTTGCTTTGTTTGAAGCCAGATTGCAGAAAGACTTTGTTTCTAAATAGATTTAGAGTAGTGGCGGATGGATAGGAGGGTTGATATTTATCACAAATACTGGTTTAAAGAGATAATCAGGCCAATTAAAACAGATCTAATATTTAAGAAGCATCTATTTGATGAAACAGCTCCATTGTTTTTCATCAGCCACAGCTGTTGTAACTGTTATCTCTATGTAGGTCACATCAAGACAAAATAGCAGCTGAACACTTGCTTCGAGTATTGTAGAGGAAAGTGCAATGAAAACATGTTCCTGTTGAAATGTTTTGAAACAGCAAGAGGAGTTGTGTAGTAGACTTTGGCAATTTGTATTAAGACATGTTGTGAAGGTGGAAAAGTAAGGAAAAACATACCGAAACATCCTTGCCCCATCGAAATAAAAGTAATTTGAAAACAGAATTCCTTGAAGGGATTTTTAAATCAGAGGAAAAGAGAGTACTTACAGGCTTTGTGCCTTGAAATGAGCAGCTTCTCTTGAGCTTCAATAGTAAACAGGCTCTTCAGTTTTCATTCTCTCTGTTTGCCCAGCAAAATATTCTTTCCACTTTTTTTGTGGGGGAGGAGGGAGGGTAATAGTTTCTGCTACTTCAGTTTTGAAGCTCTCTGCTGCCATGGCTTTGCAGATGATGTGACTGACTACATACACTTCCTGATTTTTAATTTTTTTTTTTTCCACATCCTTTCTGTTTCCCCTTGGTAAAAAGAGGGAAGCTTCTTGAAGAGGAAGAATAATAATTCAGAAGAAAAATAAATAGGGACAGTATGGCAGCTATTTCTGAGACAAATAGTATGTTTGATACAACTTTGGAAGCAAGTGTAATTTTTAAGGAATGACACATTGCATTAGCATGCCACGTTCTCCCATGGTACAGACAGAAGGAATCCTTTTGGAATCTTCTGATACAAACAGACCCTTCAGTGTGCTGTATGGTGGTAGTCGTAGTCAGAGAATTTCTTTGATACAGGGGTCTTAAGTGCATGGTAACTCCAAAATCGAGCTTTGCTGCTACTCCCTGAGAGCAGATCTGCTGTGAGCTCAGCAGTGAGATTTTATCATTGTTGGTACTAGTAGAAATAATAAACCAGATGAGGTTTCTGGACTGCTTTATGTGAATGTGGCTGATTATAGTGCTAGTAATTATTTCCTTATAGTTGAATTGAAATATTTTCTACGCTTTTAATGTGTACATTTTAAATGCAAAATTTGCATGAGGATATTTAGTATAGAATGTCACTAGACTTACATTTGGAAGACTGGTGTTCTATGATACTAAGATGATGTCCACACCACTGAAATCTATACCTAACAGGTTTTATTAATATTTATGTATCTGTAGTAGATTGAAACAGCTAAGAAACTGAATTCTGGACTTCTGATGGCAGTGTTTTTATTTTCTGATTAGCAGTCAGACATGAATCAGGCACAACTTCTTTTGGCCATAAATGAGTTTAAGTAGAATACAAATGGCTATGTTATTTATGCTTTTAATGCAGAATTCATCCTAAGGCACAGTCAGGAAGGACATATGACTGAGTTTTTTCCAGTGTCCTTGTAAAGCTTCCATCTGATCTCTGTATCTTGTTTGCTGTGTTCTAGCCATTTGTTTTAGGCCTTTGTATTCATTATAGGTAACACTAATATACGATTCTTTCAGGTATAATTCTGTGGGGAGCAGGTGAATTGATAGTAAGCTTAGATCACTGTGATCTCTGGATTTGCATTTTACATCTAGAATAGCTAGTAACAAATAATCTGTGAGCATATATGTCTATCTAAACCCTGGGTCTTTCCTGCTTGTCGGTCTCCTTAATATAACAAACCTCAATTACTATTTTGAGGAACCTTTCTTCACAGTGTTTACGCTTATTAGCTTGCAGCATAGTCTTTTACTGCCACGTTAAGGTATCATTGACAGATGGGATACTTGTAGATTTTTGTTTTTAACCGTATTCTTCCTTCTCATGTTACTTCCTGTGCTTGTTATATTTAACCTTTTTCAGCAAGGGTTCCTGTTAGCATCTAAATTGTTCTGAAAAGTGGTATCAATGTAAACACTAAAAATGAGGTGTTGCAGAAGGTGTAGTGTCAGGCAAATATGAATGTAGTTACCGAGTAGCATGTAAAGGGAGGAGATGTCTTGATTATCTTGTAAAATGTAAATCATTACTTTACCGAAGTTGACTTCTGGATCTAAGGGTTAGATATAACTTTATGAATCTGCCATATATCTGTACTGGGTGGTTAATAAAACATGTCAGTTTATAGCGTCCCTTGAATTAAAGTAGGGGAAGGGTAAAGGGCTAGTGGGATAAACTCTAAACTCGGCATTGACTTGAAAAAGTTCAGCACAGATTTTCTTTGTTAGCCTTTATGTATGAGGAAACTTAGCTATTTTTATTTCTTCCAAGTCTTCTTCATTTAAGAATCCAATGCACCTTTGAGGGAATAAATGGTGGTGTGTAAGTACCAATGAAACATTTGTGACATAAGGACGTTTTTAAGGAAACCTTAAAAACACATTTCATTGCTTATTAAAACTTAATGGAGCCTGGAAGAGCAAACTTAATTCCTATATTAAAAGTATCTTGTTGTATACTTAATAACATAAGAGTTCCGATTTGATATGATTTCTTGTAGACAATTAATTAAGCTCTCTGTCTTGCTTTCTTTCTAATCAAGTGTTCTTATTCTAGCTGACAAATCAAGACCACCTTCATCAAGCCCTTCCAGTATTATTCGCCGGACTTCCTCATTGGATACGCTTGCTGCTCCATACCTTGCTGGACAGTGGCCTCGTGATAATCATGGACAAGCTGCTCCATGTATGAGAGACAAAGCCACACAGGTAGGACAGGTTTTTGTCTTCGGAGTATTTAAATGTGAAGACAGGATTTAAATGTAAGAAGCTTTTCCCTTGAAAACATTCACTTTAGCTTTCTTGTTTGCAAGTTCCTATTCACTTTCAAATTGCAGGAATCCTACTTTTGCTATTAGGCGTGTGAATTATTTGCATTCTTCTCTAAGAAGAGGCTGTGAACTGTAATATCTGTTAAGAGTTCCACTTTCTTTTTGCCTCAGAAACACACTAGTGTGTTGCACATCTGTTTTCTCATTGTTCTTACAGTGTGCAGTACGCTAGATTGCACTGGTGTTAAGTACTGTTTAGTTTAAATTTATACAAGAGAACTAGCGACTCCTTATATGTATGTCTGTCTTAAAACTGAATAAAAAAGCTTCTTTAGTGCCTGTATAAAAGTTACTGTAGCCTTTTCTATGATAGGCTGTTCATCCTCTGATTGTAAAAGGCCTTTAATGTTCACCTGGGACCTATGCACTAAGTATAGAATTATATGCATTGAAGAGCTGCCTCATTGAACCATGAATAATGTTCAAATTTAGCTCAGCTGGAAAGTATTAAAAAAGTACATGATTTGCCAATAAACTTCAACAACTTGAAAAAATTTCACAAGCTTTTAATGGTTCAGACAGAACCAACAAACAATTGAATGAAACTGGTGTTACAAGAGTTATATGCTTATCATGACAGTTATCATTCCCTTTAAAGGGAGCTGTTGTTACATGGTATCCTACTGTATGCAGAAGTGACTCAAGATGGATTTTTCCATAAAATATCCCAGTGTTTCGTTTCTCCTTCTGTGGATGCAGCCTGGCAGTGGATTTCTCTAACTTGTAGAGTGAAAGAGCGAGGCAAACAGATGTTAAATCCCTATTCCCAGAGCATGGTTTCAACAGCAGATCTCCACCAATTCGAAAGAACATAAGAAAAATGCGTTTGGAAGAGAAACTGGCAGCATGTGGGACATACCTGAGCTTGAGCCTGCCTTAGGTTTGGTAACAATAGCGAAAAGGTGGCCACATAGGTTTCAGTGTGCTGTCTACTCAAATGTGTAGGATATTGAGCAGATGATGTCTGCAGCCTTGGTTGTTGCTGTATGGCCTTCTCAAGATCCACAACATTTTGCAAAAAGGACCACAATTCAAAGAGCAGATCAGTGGAAAAGTAAGGTGTTTTGTAAGGGAATATGTCCATATGGGTAAGGTGGAAATAGAAACTGGTGAAGAAAGGAGAGCTGAGGAATAAGTTTTCTGTGCAGGAAAATGGACCAGCAAAATGGTTAGAAGATGGGGTGAAAAAGGTAAGCAAATCATAGTGAGAGGAGGAGGATGAAGGAAGACGCCTGATATACAAGGAATTGCTGTTCATGCTTAGCCATTAAAAGGCAGAATTAAACCAGTGTGAGTGTCTTAGCTATTTATTTTCATATTTGATTTCCTAGGATAATACTTTTTTCAAAATAATTATGTTTCTATACTACTGCCAAAGTATTTGCTATATTCAGCTGATCTCTTTCAGCTTAGTTTCGGTTTAATCTGAATCACGGTTGGGCTTTTATGATCTGCGTATTTTCCAGATAGATTAGATATCATCCTTTTTGGCTTACATTTTTCTTTTGTCTTTTTCTTCCAATTCTGACACATCTAGCTGCTATGGTAGTGGGGCTTTCATATATAAGGGGAGACATATTTGCAAAGGTTAATGGGAAGCCTGTAAAGGGCATTGGATATTTCTGCCGAATGAGTGTATTTAGTGGTGTTTGATGTTAGTATACTGCTGAGGGAAATAGAATGATCTGTTTGCACTTCCTAATTTAAAATTTATCAAACCAGTAGAAAATTTTGGGATACAGACATACATCTGTGCATCCAAAGCTTGTGTTGATATGACACTGATGAGACATCGTTGCTTTTAATCTTTCTGGTGTGCTTGAGAGCAACCATTCGAGCTAGGGACAAGCTTAAAATGTGATTTACAGTAGTTAGTTTCCCAAGATAGTATAGGCTCTCTGTTTGTATTGTTTAGTGTTTCTGAAGATGGGGTGTTTGGATGAAGTTTCACTTACAAGATATTCTGGCTCCAATGTGTAATTTCCAATTTCACAAAGTCTGACGTGAAATGGATGTGTTCAGATTTCAAAAGTTTAGGGGACAGGAACTGAATCTATTAAGGTATAGAAGATTTTCAAGTTGAGTAAGCAGGGTATCTTGATTCTGCAGATTTATGGCATAGTGACTGGAGTCATTCAGGAAGCAGGCTGGGAAGAGACAACATTAGTGACACACTGCAGCTTGCAGGTCTTCACAGAGATGCCCATAGGTCATAGCCAAGAACTGTGTAAGAGATCCCAGGTCACGCGGAGACTGTCTGTCTATCAGACTCCTGCTTCGACTGATTATTTTGGTGAAACCTGTCTATAAAACCAGACTGAATTATGTACATGCAGAATGTTTGCTGGATCATGAGTAAGTTATTATTGAGCATCCTGGGGTCTGGTCTTCATACATGCAGATATTGTTTTAAGTGCTGCTAAAACAGGTGTTTGTAATCTTGTACCTTTTTCCCTTTAAATCAAACTTGTTTGGCTTTGCTTGTGGTTGTTTGAAATCCAGCTATGTCAAAATACGTGTTAAAATGAGACAATTGCTTTGTATTTTTTTAATTTTAAAAAATAATTCATTTCAGCTGCAAAGTTTTTGCCTCTAAGACTTTTTTCCCTTAAGTGTTCTACTATCTGTGATAAATCTAGCCTTAAACTCATTTCTCTTTGTATTTCTAGAACAAACAGAAGGACGTTGTCAATGGTAACAACTAATAAGCAAGTAGTAGTACTTTAAGAACCTAGAGAAATAGAAATCCCTCTTTGTCTATTGGTTATTGGGTCTGTGTTTCCTGAAAAGAAGAACTATAAACAAGATACAGGGAATAAGTAGGAGGAGACTTGCTAAAATAGTATTACATTTCTGTCTTGATGTAAAGGTTTCCTATAATTTAATGTCTTATACCTACTCTTGCTCTAAAAAGATTTCTAACTATTTGTTTTGAGGGTGAGCATCAAAGCAACCTTTAATCCTTTAAAATTAATCAGATATTAATTTATGAAATAAGTCTTGAATCTTAAGTCAAAGTATTGAATATAAATTAAATGCAAAGACTGATTAGAGTATTAATTAGATTCCTGTAGGCAAGTGTAACGCTTGTGCTGAGTTGGAAAGTTAGAATTAGTGGCTAAAACTTGTTGTTCTAGGAGCTAGAGGATAGGATGAGACTCCAGATTGACATTTGAGAATTGACTATACAAAGATTGGTACTTGAGAATGGGGGTTATCAATTATTCTATTTTATGATGAAGGTAAGTGGGTGCTTTTCTGGAAAAAAATATTCTAATGGATTCTAATTTTGCTATGAAATAGGAATTTCAAAGCAACCCTACTAACTTTGTTATTCAGATTTGTCCTAGTTAGTTTTTGGTTTGGAATGATGAAGACGAAAAACTACTGATAGTGGAGGTTTCATTTATAAGAAACACATATCTGTAACTGAAGCCGATGGGAGTTGCAACCTGTATTTTTGGAGTTAACACTTCCATTTTCCCTGCAAAATGGGGGTTAATGCCACATCATCAAAGGCCTTGTGAGTTTCTGTGTTCTGAGTACAGATGGGGTGAGTAAGGTCAGCTTGTGGCTTGCAAGTCGTTAGTCTCAAATGTGAGAACAACTGTTGCACACTGTAGATGTGAAGGCTTTGAAGCAATCAAAATTCCTGTCTGTAGGAGAAAGTGAGATATCAATGATTTCTCAGGATGAGTTAGCTGGATCGCCGCTGTGTGCTAAGAACTGAACTGTGGCAACAGTGAATTTAAAGGAATTCGCTGTCTTTTTCAGTGTGTAAGCTGCTTCCAGAAATCCTTCCCTCTGCTTCATTAGGTATATTTCTTGTGAGTGCGTGGACATTCCTGATAGATGTTACTACCCCTCCTCTTAGAGCCTTTACAATTCACTGCTTTCAAGGCCATTCTGGACGTGTTTAGGTAGGAATACAAACTGTCCATAAAGCATGCAGTATTACCACAGGCTTGCCTGTGCATTTTGTTACCTTAAATAGCTACAGTTTGTCTTAATGGCTTTTAGAATTTCTCAGAACTTTTTCACCACAGTATGTTTTCTTTATTAATGACTTTGTTGGTTTAGTGAAACTAGGTTAGTATTATCTATGTCGCTTTCTGCTTGGCCTGAGACGACTATGAACCTGAAGCCCTTTGAGGCATTAATGAATTAATTCCCTGCTTTGCAATAGCTCTAGTGGTGCTTATATGCCTTGCCTTCCTTTTTCTCATTCTTCTGAGCAAGAACATGATTTTGAAACTGTACTGGTGCAAGTGTTTACAACGTTTACACCAAGCTACCCTTGCTAATGCGTCAGAAATAACAAGGTCAGCATCTGTGCAGGAAATAAAACATACTATCTCCCCCAGATTCAGCACTGTCATACTGGTTCTTTAGAGCTCTATAGCAGCTTGTGGTACATCTGGCTGTTAATACTGCCTTATGCTCAATAATTTGGAAGGGAAACTAGCACATTCCTGTATTAGAGTAGGTCTGAAAGTTGGTGGGGTTTTTTTTTGTTTGGTTTGGGTTTTTTGTTTGTTTGGTTTGGGGTTTTTTTTGTTTTTGTTGTTGTTTTGTTTTTGTTGGGTTTTGGGTTGGTTTTTTTTAATTACACAGTTTCATTCCACTTTTTCATACTTAGTTGTCAAAAAGGCTTCTAGTCAGCGACTGCTTTTCACTCACAGTTCTGAATCTAGCAAATCTTAACACCGTTCTCTCTGCTAATTTGTCTCAAAATATTCTGCCAGAAAGTAGGAATTGCCTTTTTTTAATTAATCTTATAATCTTCTTGCTGCAGACAGAAAGTGCCTGGGCTGAAGAATATTTAGAAAAGAAGAGAAGCTCACACAAACGTTCAGCGTCATGGGGCAGCAATGATCAACTCAAGGAGGTCAGAAATGCTATTATTTGAGATACCTTTGGATTAATTTTTTTACTGGTATGCACTGTTACTGTGAGTTTTCAGGAAGACGTGACTATTGTACTGCTTTGTTTTATTATACAGATTGTGGGCTTGGTAAAAAATAAGAAATAGCTGTTCATTGGTATTGATTTCATATAATAATGCAGGTCTATTAAAATTTTTAATCTGAATGTGTGGGAAAGGAAGTGTCAAATGCAGGTGACACGCTTCAACAAAGGAGGAAATACAGCAGTGACCAAACTACTTTCAAACTTTGTGTTTCAAGTTCTTTCATGAAACCTCCAGAGGTATCTTCTGGGCTTCAGCTGAACTGGTAGCTAACATATTAGGTTTGCAAGAACTTGAGTCTAATTTAGTGCTGGCAATAGTTATGAATGTTGTGGTAGTAAAGAATTTCAACTAAGTGATGGAATAAATTGGTGAAACTGTGTGTGTACCTGAATATATCTGGTGAAATCTAATGTGAATTTTTCCTTTATTAGATTGCAAAATTGCGTCAACAATTGCAGAGAAGCAAACATAGCAGTAGGCATCATCGCGATAAAGAAAGACAGTCTCCATTTCATGGTAACCATGCAGCCATTAACCATAGTCAGGTAAGGCTGTGAGCTTTTTGGACATACTGGGTAGCTACTACTATTTTTTAACTTCTTTCAAGGTTGTGACTTAGAATACCACGTACTGCTAAATATGTTGTAGCTATAGGTGAATTCTATGAAATAGATACGTTTCCTTTGACTTCCTCGAGTATATGGTCCTGGATCTTTTTGTTACTTGGCTGGGCTGGCTTTGAACTCCCACTTTCAAAGAATTTCAGGTAGTTAGATCCTTCCTAAAGCAAGTCTGCATTCTGCAGACTCTACAAAAGGGTGATAGATAAGTTTAATCTAAAACCATAGATTATTTTTCATTACGCATTGCTGTAACAGTTATGAATTTGCATGTAGAACATAGCATGGAGCAAACTGGTGGTAAAATGATACACTCAAATAAAATTGTAGTTCTTGCTAATCACGTTTTGTGTCTTGACAATAGCACTTGTCTAATCCTATGATGAACTGATTTAGAGAGCTTACCTGACAAAAGGCTATTCAAATATCCCCCCCAAAATTATGTATCTAAACATATATACATATAAACATCATGGTTACTTTATTACTATGCTCATGAAATTTTTCTTCTTGTACGGAGGTCTCTTGCATTCTGCCAAATTTTAGAGTACGTGAATAAAATATTGCACAACAGATAATTAATTTTTGGGCTTGTGAAACAGACTATAAAATATAAACTGAGTCAAAGCAGCTTTTCCAGCATTGTGTTACAAAACAAACCATTGTTTTTCTTGGTAAATTTTGTGCCAGCTGTGTCGAGCTACTTGTGAAGGGGGGAAGTTACAGAAGGCTTCAAAAAGAGTAAGTGAAGGGTTTAGACTAACGGCATTTAGAGACTGCTTTCTAAGTCAGAGTGAAAATCTGTAACTGTAGGCATCAAGGACAAAGTTCCTAGGCTTTCTCATTCCTTTCTAGGGAACTGCTAAACTAGAATTTCTGGCAGCAGCTCAGTTCCTTCAGGATTTGTGGGAAGGACTGTGTGGAAACACTTGCAGTTAGTGATTAGAATATTTAGAAATTTTTTTACATTCCCAACTTGAAGGAAACTTGCAGTTGTTGACTCTAGAGGGTCATACAAAGATTTCTGAGCTCAAGGAGTTGGATTCCTGACAAGGCCGAGAAAATGTGTTGGTAAATTGCCTTGGTAGTCCCTTCACAGAGCCCAGGTAAACTCTGTTTAATATTTTGGAAATGGCTTACTCTTCTAGTTAAAACTAAAAGAAGCAATTCCAGTGGATTTATTTCCTCTTTTCTTCCCTGCTAATAAACACTTAAGCTTTGCCACAATTCTTGAGTTTTACCAAAATTTTTACAGTGGTTCTTACCACCTAAGCCTCCAACTAATTGTTTAGTTGTGCTTCTTTCTTCTGTTATTTTTGTTTGAAGAAAGAAATCCACACCATGTCTATCGAATAAGCTTGTTAGCTATTCCTGTCCCTCTACTCAGAATCAGGAAATAGTTGGCGAGGAACTTGATCAAGTCCTTGCTGCTGACTACACTTTTTTTCAGAGCAATTGAATAGTTTTTGTTTTTGTTTTTTCATGATGCCAGAAGTGTTCCATTCTGCCTCTCTTTACAGGAGGAGGGGTTTGCAAGAAAGGGCATAGCCTCCTCAGGTGATCTCAGGATGCTTCTGAGAACGTTGGAGTTCAAATTAATTGCATGGTACTAAATCTGTAAAGAGGAGTCAAACCAATGGGATCTTTCTTTATTCTCAGTGTTAATGTAATCGAGAAACTAGAATTGAGGCCAGAGCTGAAGCCAGATGGAAGAATAAATTGATTAGCTCTTTCAGAATAGTCTTTTTTCCTTAGCGCACTTGACTGATGTTATGCTGCTACTTGACACTATGAACCATGAAGCCCCCTCCTTCCACTTTCCTGGGAAGCATGTGTCCTTAATGTCTTAAGAATTGATCCTAAGCAACCACTAATATTGAGACCAACTGCTTCTTGTTGTTGTGTTTTGGTTTTTTTTTTGTGTCACTCTTACCACCTTACATAGGTAGAGCATTTCATTTTTAGAATGGAATTACCATGATGCATTCAGCCTTGAGATGGTTTGATGTTAATGTCTGAAAGCATCAAAAGACCTTGGATTCTATTTAAAGTTCTGGTGCTTCTTGAAAAATTGGAAGAGCTTAGAGCATTTTTCTAAAATGCCTGTGAACAATTTAGATTTGTCATCACCCATATTTCGTAACTCATGAGTTTGTGCCATACCTGTAAGTTTCGGGACTCTAACTGTACTGCACCAAAACTCCCTGACTGTGTGTTATTATGTGAGCACTGTAATTATTATCCTGTGTTTGGCAGCTTGCTTCATTTTGTGCATTCCCAAATATGCAGATGAGTAGTCAAAGGTCGGTAGCCTATTCCTGTATGTCAGGGGCCAGCTCCATGCAGACCGCTGTGAAGGCAGTATTTCTAATATAAAGTTTCTTGTTTCAAGGCTGGTTGTTCCACCCCTGTAATGGTACCTCCTTCCCTTTCCACCCTCCGGCACTCCAGGTTAACAAGTCATCCTCAATCGTGTACAGAATATTATTTCTCTTGGAAGTGAAACATGCTGTATTGAACCGTAATGAACTTTATCGGAGCAACTTGTGCTTTTCTACTTTGAGCTTTTCAAATAGTACTATGATTCTAAGAATTTCCGTGGTAGGCAATCATATTTAAAAGATGGAGAATTCCCACGTTTTGCTAATGGCTGCTAAAATCTTAGACAAGCATACTTGCTTTCCGCTTTCTACTTTTTAACAAGTTCAGTTTGTCCTAAGAATCATGCCACCAGAACATTAGAAGGTTCTGCCTTAAACTTCAACGCAGACTCTTGGTGATTATGCAGGGCACTACTACAGGTAATGGAATGATTCCTGCAAACATTTAGTTCAACTCAAAGAACAGCATGATAAATAAAGTCACAGTAGAATTCCTGTGTAAAATTCCTAGACTCTGTGGTGTAGTGTGCTATGATTGAGAACATCTCCTCTACTGATTGAAGGACGGTAGCATTCTCACCTGGTCTTCAAAGCGATTTGTTTGTGGGTTTTTTATTTTTCCTTTAAATAACAGGACTATGCATAGACAGAAACCAAAGCATTGGGACTTCACATGTGAATTCTCAAAAAGCACACAAAATCTGTCTGGCAGAAAAACTACCTTAGAAAAATTAATGTAAACAAGAGAATTCTAAATGCGGATCATAATGCAGACTTACTCTCACAATCACAAATCTCTAAGGTGGCAAAACTTACGAATTATATTGGTTTTGCTTTACTGAAACATTAGGATAGCTATAAAGAAAGAGACTTGCATGACGACTACAAAAGCTTCTGTTCAAGAAATGCTTGTGACACTGTTTATTTCAACAAAAACTAAACATTCTCATAATGGCCAAACTTGGAAAGACTTCCATTAAAATACAATTCTAGTGAAATTACAAGTAGTAAATCCAACAGTGAAGGAAGTGAAATTGTGGTACAGCTCACTTCAGAAGGAATGTGAATATATTTTAAAGGCTTCAAAATTACTTACATTTAAATGTTTACTGTTAAATTTTCACTTGTAAAGCAATGTCGAGCTGGAGGCAGACCATATCAAGGGAAGTTTTGAGACTAGGTTCTTGAAAGCTTTTCCTGCTAGAAATTAGATTTGAAACAGAATCCAGGATGTCTGTGTCTTCATTTAAGGCATCCATTTTAACACAATCACTATAGTTTCATGTAAATCCTTGATATTGAGGTGTAGATAGATGTGTTCTGTTTAAAGGTTCACTTTTGAGTAGAAATAGTAACTGCGTTTTGTAAGTAAATCTACATTGCTTTCTCACTGTCTCTGGTTCTTCAGGCTCCCATCCCAAAGAGTGCTCTTGTTCCTGTGATACCTATTACCAAATCAACAGGATCACGATTCCGAAACAGTGTAGAAGGACTGAATCAGGAGATTGAGATAATAATTAAGGAGACGGGAGACAAAGAGGAACAGCTTGTTGTATGTATCTGCCACCATGATTGCTTTCTATAAGTATTTTGGTTTTGCTTTGAGGTTTTTAAGACATAAGCTTTATTTTGCACAATTTTTGAATTAAATTTGTCTGGAATTAATTTTGCTTTCTTTAATAAAGGTAGTTGAAAAAGTGTCTTGGAAAGCAAAAAGAAGAAAAGAGTTAAAGCTTGAATCTGCACTTTTTCCTCTGTGATTACTGTGATGTAACTAGTTTTCCAATAAAATAAGACATCTCAGTAAAACAGGGGAAAAGACAAAAGGTCTGTTTTGAGAGTTTTTGTAGTAACTTTTTCTTCTCTTTGCCCATGCTGAACTGTCCCCCTCCCACTTGAAGCCTAACTTGCCCATTTTTAACTTTCGTTTTAATTTTAGGTATTTTTAGAGGTAAATTTAGTAATAAAGTTTCAGAAATACAGGACACGAAGATGATTAAAGGACTGGAACATCTTTCATATGAGGAGAGGATGAGAAAGCTGGGACTGTTCAGCCTTGAGAATAGAAAGCTCAGGGGGATCTTATCAATGTGTATAAATATCTGATGTGCAGGAATGAAGAGGAGGGAGCCAGCCTCTTCTCAGTAGTGCCCAATGACAGGGTAAGCGGCAGTAGGCCTAAATTAAAAAACATTAAATTCAATCTGAATACAAGAAAACCACCTTTTTTTCTTTTTTCTTAATTTTTTTTTTTTTTTAAATGTGTGAGGGTGTTCAGAACTGGAGCAAGTTGCCCAGAGAGGTTATGGAGGTATTCAAAACTTGACTGGACAGACTGCTCTACCTGACTGTGCTTGAGCAGGGGTGTTGGACTATATGATCTCAAGAGGTCCCTTCCAGCCTCAGCAATTCTGTGATTCTATGAAATCTTGGAAACTGTTGTCCTTAGTTTCCGAACCTGACTTATTTTATTTTCTGTTGGAGTCTTGTGTAATGAATAAAATTTTCTACTTCAAACAGTTTTATGGAACCTGAAAAAACCCTCAGCATTACTGGATTTAAAGAAACTGCTAACCAGACAAGAGCAGCCATCTGATACTTTTTATTTTTAACAGCCTCAAGATATTCCAGATGGGCACCGTGCACCACCTCCGTTGGTTCAGCGTAGTAGTAGTACTCGCAGCATTGATACCCAAACACCTGGTGGAGCAGACAGGGGTAGTAACAACAGCAGCCGCTCCCAGTCAGTATCTCCAACCTCATTTCTTACCATCTCTAACGAAGGCAGTGAAGAAAGTCCATGTTCCACAGATGATCTTCTTGCTGATTCCAGAGATAAAGGTACTGTGTAACTTTAAAAGTTCAACAATGCAAAACTTTAACTTGTTGCTATGTGCATGAACACGTAGTAAAAGAGGGGGTTTGTTTCCCACATCCATGGAGAAATGGTAGAACGTTTTTTTTTAAGTGATGTGCTTTCCAAATTGCTCCAAATACTCTGTGTGCACACATATATAGTGCTCTGTAATTGAAGCTGGAGAGATGTGACTGAGCAATGTGCTTCCCAAACAAGTTACTGTTTTTGAATAATAAACCACGACAATTCTTCAAGTACTTTAAGCAAGCTGAAGAAGCAAGAGTGTACAGCAACAAGTGGAACAGCAAAGTAGGCTAGTCTTGTTGCTTGTGTCAGGTATTTTTTTATGATCTCGGACAAAATGGGCAACCTTCCAGCATTTCATACATGCACCCGTAAAAAGTTTAACTGTTTGGGGTTTTTTAATTATTCTTTTTTACCAGAAATCTTCTGAGATATACTAGGAGAATGTTATAACTGAACATAAACCTGTTCTGGTTTTTAAGGAATAGGGCTTCTGCCCGTTTCTTTTGGCTAGATGGTGACGGCAGAGGATAATAGATTCAGGTTTGCCATTATAAACTGAAAGTGTCCAGGAATGAATGCAGAGGAGCCTGAAAATGATATAAGGAGAAATAGAAAGGAGGAAAGGGATTGAGATAAGAAAGCTTATTTGCAAATGAAGACTCGGAGGCGAATGAAAATGTTTCTTAATTTTATAACATTGGTAATGAAGTGGTTTTCAATTTGGGGGGCATTTATAGGTAGTTATTGTTTTTTTAATAGCGTGACACGTTTAAGTAATGAGATACTCTGTTCCTGCAGAGAATGGGAATAATTCTCCCTTGCCAAAATATGCTACCTCACCAAAACCCAACAACAGCTACATGTTCAAGCGTGAACCTCCAGAGGGCTGTGAAAAGGTGAAAGTCTTTGAGGAAAGCTTGTGAGTTCATCTTTACTACATAAGAAATAACATTTAACATTCAGAGTTACCCATTGGTTTATTGATTTTGTGTCAAATCAAAATTATTAGTCCAGTTGCTAAAACCATGCTAACAGCCCGATCTCTGTTGTTTTGTGTGACTATATACTGGTATATATGTATGTATTTTATTGCTGGAATTTTGTGTTAAAAAGAAGTCTCTCAAGATTTTGATTTTAAAACCAGTATAACTTGAGAGGACTGTCTCTTACCTGGCAGATAGAGGGGGAGAAACTCAAATAATCAGGTACAGAGGGATGTAATAAGAAGCTGTAATGCACCTGCATCAGCTAATATATGTCCCAGCTTGACAGGCATATCTAGACTCTGAAGACCATATTCATTTCAGCTACATCTATGTAGCTGTGAAACTTTTAGTGACAGAGGAGTGAATTTGAGTATTTGATGCTTTGGTTATTCTGAAAAAGCCAACTTTTGTCATTTTGGGAATATTCTGGGGGTTTTATGTTTTATTTTTATTTTCAGTGGAGTTTTTATACCCTTATGTCACTTGGATGCAAGAATCTTAACCTATAGTTAAAAATTTCATTTCCTCACACAAGGAGTATAATTTGGTTATAATTCTCTTACGCCTATATTATCTCAACAATGCCATCTAATATAAGTAGTAATTAAAAAAATTACAGCTGCCTTTGTGTATTTTCCATCTCTGATCTCTGCAAATGGATTTTGAGAGGTCTCTGTGGCCTATCCATAACAATGGGGAAAGGGTTATAGTAGCTGAAGTTACCTGTCTCTATTTTAGAGTGTGTAAGCTATGTTGCCAACAGATTAGATAGTCTTCACTTGCTCCAAGAACATACTCTATTGTGATCTGACTTGCATTTGCATTTCTTTTCGTATGTCCTTGCTGCGTAGCTATAGAATGTTCTGCTGTAGAGTGAAACAGGCTTCTACAGAAGTTTTTACCTAGCTATGGCAGTTCTTAGACACGGCAGTCTCATGCAAAAATCTTTCTCACATCTGGTACTCGCATTCCACACGTACGTGGAACACATGAGTGTAACTATTTAAAGCTCAACCTTTGTTTAACATTATTTCTATTTGAAGTTTGCAGGGTTTTCATTTGGGAAGAAAATTTATAAATGGGGCTGAATTTTCTGGACACTGGGAGAACCAGCTAACATGGAAACATACACTATTTCATGAACAGAATTACTTTTCAGAGTAGAGTGTCTCCTACAAGAGTATACTGAAAGATTGGCTTTCTTGGCGTAGTAGAATAGAGATAGAAGTGCATATGGCTGTCTTACAAACACATGGAAGAGAGGGGGAGGTTATAGGCTAAAGGACAATGCTGGCAACAAGAAACAACAAGTTTAAATTTCTGATGGTTATTTTCCAGCAGGGAAGAGATGCTTTGGAACAGATTCCCTTAGTTTTGTCTTAAAGTAGACTAGCTTAGTAGATTTACGTTGCAGGGTTAGAGATAGACACAGAAGGCATTACCTGTGCTATCCACGATTTCCCTTCCAGCTCTGTCTTTCATAAAGCATGTCTCTGAGTTGGTTGAATTATATACTGAGACGGCAAAACTGCCAGTCAGGATCTAAATGTGTGTTCCACACTTCCTTCCCAGGAAGCATGTACTTGATCATGAATGCCACATTTTACTCTCTGCGTTGAATTTTTAAGTAAGATGGGCTCATCTTTTACAGAGATTCAGGCCACACTCAGGTGAACATGCAAAGGAGGCAAAAGTCTAGAAAAGGGATCCCCCTATAATTATGAACAACTCTAAGATATGCCATATTAGGAACATTGCTATGCCAGCTTTCTTTCATAAGGCTTGCTGTATAAACAGTGAGTGTGGGGCAGAACTTGTTGGGTTGTGAAAGTTTCTGGAGAACATGATCAAGAATACTTTCTGATACATTGGATATGCCAATTCATGGTCAGGGTTTGTGATCTGCAACATGAAGTCAGTGTCTTCCTTGGGTTTGGAGATAGCCTGCCCTAAGAATATGCTGTTTATATCGTAGTATATGTAAACAAGCAGTATAAACCCATCTTGCCATTTGCCATGTGGTGCAAGTGTCATTAGGGCATTATTGAGTAGCTGAAATACTTCAAGTTTAAACCTCAACTTGTCTTTGGTGATGTGTTCAGCAATACATACCTGCCATTGACAGAATTTGACTGTTCAATGTCATTTTAAAACTATTGTGTGTATTTTATTTCTAGGCCAAAGCCATTGCATGAAATTCCAGCCTTCTACTGCCCTGACAAGAACAAAGTGAATTTCATTCCCAAAAGTGGCTCTGCTTTCTGTCTTGTCAGCATCCTCAAGCCACTTCTTCCCACACAGGATCTCACACTTAAGGGCACTACACACAGCCTGACTGTTTCCTCCGGCGTGACGCCCAGTTTGTTACAGCCCATTTCTATGGCCTTGTCTACAAACACAGATCAAGACAGGATCTCTCGTGGAACAAGTACAGTAATACCACAGACCTCTATACTCCAGCAGTCGGGACATATTGAGGAAGCTGAAGGATAGATTTAGATTGTCTTGACATTTTTCTGGGCAACTACTGGGAAAAAATTAGAACCAGTTGACTGGACCTTTCTGATCACACTATTTGCATTGTTTTAACAAGTTATGGCACTGTCATAACTGAACTGTTTGTATAATTGACAGTTTGGTAACACATTGAGAAGTTCAGGAGGATGCAGCAGCTGACAGTCCGTTGCACTTTCTGCTTATGAAGACTCCGTTTCTGTTTCTCCTGCTTTTTTAAACACTGGTGAAAACAAAGACTGTCATAATCCTTTGCCATTTAAAGGACCAGTTGTGGTGATGCTGTGTGTCCTTTGACTTATTTTCCCATTAGAACAAAAATCTCAAGATCAACCAGCTGATCCCATTTACCATTGTAATCTGCAGAGGGAGGGGCAATCAGATGGTTTTGCAAGATGTCTTTTATATGAAAATGTGTATTTTGTAACAAAAATTTGCCTTTTCTGGTGCGTAGCAGATGGTGTTTAGAAGACACTTCCCTGGTGATGATTCCCCCCCGCCCCCTTTTTTTTTTTGTAGGGAAGGTTCTTTTTTACTTGGCTGTTTTACAGCTGCTGGGACCAAAGGATTGCTGAAGTATTTCAGCAGTCTCAAATTATGTGACCTTGCTGAACAGCCTCAGCCCTAAACAAAATAAGACAAGTTAATATGTTTGAAACTTTTAAAACAGAAGAGTATCCAAAAAGCAGCGTTAGTATATAGTGTACATTTTTTGATATCGGAAGTTTGTGCTTCAGGTAAGTCATGTTCTTAAAACTCCTTCCTTCACAGAATCCCCACCAGTGTTGGTTTATTGGCTGGAAAATTGCATTTTAAAGCACTCGCCCCAGTATTGTTCTACTTGTCCATAGGATTTTTGTGCAGGGGTCGGGAAAAAACATGTTATCCTCTTACTTGGTATTCTTTCTTCCAGAAAATATGCCACTTGCTTCTTACAGGCTTGCTTGGCTGCTTATGGAGTTAGTCAGCCTGAATCATTAATCACTCTTGGCACAAATTTGCTCTGACGTGACTCATCACTGTATTATAGACCCTGGCCACATAATACTGAAATATCTGTGCATGATTTCCTCCCTTTTGTCATAGTGGTGTTTTGTGTGTCCGTTTGAAGGTGATGGTTTGTCAGGCATGGTATCTGTTACACAGAAGTTTACAGCAGCAGATACATTCTCCCTTTTTGACTAGCAACTTAGGCTGGTATGTAAAACAGGATTTTTTTGATACCTGGTCTGTCCTGATACGCAGCAGTTTATGGTTGCTTTGAAATCATAATAAAAAATGAAAATGGCCGGGGGGAAGCAATTGCAAACAGAAACTGTTCAGGAACTTCAGTGAGGTTTCTCATGTGTTCCTGGAGTGCATTACTTGGGTTTGAGTAAATATAATATAGATATGCAAAAAACTGCAGTGACCTGAATACCAGTGTCGAATCAGCTTATAAACAAGTTGACCTTGTACCTCTTTTTTACAGAGTTAGGTTCAGTAATTTCAAAGTAAGTGTCATCATGGACAGTCTCTGGGTCTAAATATTGATCTGTTACATATGAGCAGTTCTCGCTGGCTTGCATATATCTAGCTTCCATGGATCGGTTGCATACTCAGGTCCCCTTATAACTGCATCTATTTAAAGATAATACTGCAAATATAAGAATTTTGTTCAGTGCTTAATATGCTAAATTTAGTTGCAAACATTTCACTTGGGAGAGAAAAACCCCCTGCATACCTGTGCAGATAATAGTCATAGTTTTGATGCACATTTACTGTTCCTTTAAATCTTACATAAATAACTATGATAGCAATGTCCTTTACTCAGCAAGTAAGTGTAAATCACACTAGCATGTTCAAGTCCTGTGTTCGTAGTGTAATGAACCCCTTTTTAAAACATTATGCAAAAATTCAGCAAATGAAAAATGTACCAGGAAGTATTAAAATGTTAGACCTGTTAAATTAGCAAACAAGCAGAATTTCGTTTACTATCTTTCTTCCCATCAAAATAGGTAAGATTGTGCAGATGGGACTAAAGAACTCATTTTTGAAGTAACAGCTCTGATTTTGTTGTTGAGGGACAGAGTTTTAAAATAAGCGGCTTTGTGCATCAAATTTTTGTGATTTGGCCAGTTGATAATTCTTTCCTAGGTTTTGTGGATATTAATTAGTTTCTTCTGAAACAGTTATAGTGCAATTTGAAGTCTAAAATTTACTGTGTTAGATAGACTTGTTTAAACCTGGTATGACTGGATTCATGGAAGATGAGACCATTCAGGTGAAGGAAATACTTGTAAGTCTGTTTTCTATTTCTGTAACAGTAGCATGTAAAGAGCTTCTCCATCAATGCCAAACTGCCTAGTGCTTTATCAGGAGATCTTAACTAAATGGTTAAGAACCAAAGGGCTAAAGTTAACAAATAACCTTTATTACAGCCTTGAGACTTAACTGACTTCACCAAAACTGCATTCTGATGTTTGTTTTCATCGCAGAGTGACTCTCCCAAATAGCAGTGGGCTTTCTTACCCTAGGACTTTCTTTTGCACCTGTTGTTGTAGTACTTGAGCATCTTTTTGGTAGTTTACGTTGTATGTTATTGGACGATGTACTGTACAAATTAGTGGGCTGCTCTGATAAAAACCAAATGTAAATGTGTGAAGTTTTTGCTTTTTAAAAAAAAACAAACAAACAACAACTGCATTCAGGACAACATTCAGTCTTTTTTATACACAGGACAACTCTAATATTGCCATGGCAGCTCTACTTTATTATGAATCCACACTATAGACTCAGAATTAAGAAGACATGACAGCTCTTGTTCCGAGACCAGCTTTTACATGTGTGCATACAAAAATTCGCCTTAAACTTTTTATGTGCTGTCTTGTGCCATAGCAGAGCTGTTAGATAAAGCATTTAAATCAATTTCAAAACAACTTTGAGAGTGCATGGAGCTTTTTTAAAATTATTTTATGTATAGAGTGGGATATTCAGTTTTTTGGGGGGTTTACCGATGCATTACTCAAGCACACTCTTTACTGAAAGAGTTCAAGTTCTTTTGGCATACTTTAAATCCTAACTATGCATAGACCTAGTCAGTTCCTTGATTGCCTACTTTGTAGCTTAAGAAAAATTAAAGGTCTATTTTTATGCACAACTTGACACACTTGATACTCTTCGTTTTCTTGGTATTTTACACTTCTAGCCACGCTTAAAGGCTGGTGGCAGTGTTCAGTAACACTGACAGTTGATTTTGAGATACACTAAATGGTGTTCCTCCAGTTGTAAATTCTACATAAGTCACAAGGAAGGAGGTCATTGCTGTAATGAAGGTCCGTGGTGGCAGCTATGACTATTGGAATCCTTGTTTTTTAAAAACTCGAGGCAAAAGGGAAGAGGACTTCTTTGTTAAAGTTTGACCTCCTTCAGCTATTCTTTCCTTGCTTGGTGCCATAATCCTGTAGCAACAAATTTAAATACTTGGAAAAGTAACAGATAATGCTTGAGTACATATATCTTGGAAAGAAATTCTTGGTTGCACGTATATATCCCAAGTGAGGAAAAAAGGGAGTGAAAATTAAATATTGCATACTGTGGAAGTAAATGATTGCTGTGTTTGATTTACGTAAGGCAATAGCAGCTCTTAAAAAGTATGTTTAGTCTCAGGGCTATTTTTTGGTTTGTTCTAAAGTACAATTTACTGGAATTCAGAATCTGAGATTGTTGGAAAACACTGAAGCTGAGCCTTTTGGGAAGAAAAAAACAAAGTCATATCCATTAACCTTTCTTCTCCCTCAGGCATAACTTCTTGTTGCTTATTGAGTTTAATAGAATTCAGTGGTACAGCAATAATTCTTTGCTGAAGTATTACCTGTTCTCTCCCTGCCACCTCTGAAATGCTAACTGATGTCTTCACCAGTAACTCACTGCCAGTGATGTCCATATTTCCTTGCTGAATGTTTCCTTGCTGAGTACCTGACAACTTCTCTGTGAAACTGAAAGGGCAAAGGAGAATGCATAGAAAGTCACCTGAGACTTGCAGTTACAAAGATCAGTGCTGCAGGGTGACTTCTTGGGTATCTTGATTTCCATTTGACTCATTGTACGCATGCACACATACAGTCTGCGTAGGTCTGCTGCTTTTATCTTTATGGTTTGAGGCAGGACTGGTGTTTGTAGGACTCTTTTTATGGGCAGACTTGCAGACCTGTTCTCATCCAGAACTGATGCACATTTACACATGTCTCCAAAGCAAAGCTTGTGTGGTGTTCTTGCTTGTTCTCATGAAATGAATATAACCTGCAAAAAAAGACCCTTGACATAAAAGCATCCAAACACTTGAGAACGTCAGGACTGTGCTTTATCCATATAATTCCATAGTTTGTGGGCCTTTCATCAAACGTCACAGCCTAAAGATGTTGTTACAGCTTAGACCCAAACCAGGTTGGCATGTATTAAAACAAAAAGCTCTTAGAAACGGTAGCAGAAGGTACGCGTTTCTGAACCTAGGGAGGTGAAAAGCACTGTGGAAGAATTGGTTTGATTGTGATCAAAGAGTTCTTCTGGAATTGTTTTTCTAAACCTGGGTATGCAGGAAAACAAAATGACCACTTTTACTGCAAGATGTACCTGTATATTTTCTTGACATGAGTTTGTGCGTGTTCAGCAACTCTGAAAATCAGTTCTGCTCTTAGCATTTTGTTTATACAAAGAATGACCTAGATGCATTGTTTTGAAACTGTTACTTTGCGCATCAAGTCAAGTGGGGAGAGAATGTTAACTATTCACAAGTGTTTTGTGAAATTCCAGTCCTGTACCCCAACTGTACTGCAACAGTCTCTTTCTGAATGCTCCAAATGTAAATGGAGTCCTGTTACTGCTTGCTTGATTTCATTGCATGTCATCAGTAAATACTTAAGGTATGATCTTTGTTTAATAGTTCTTCACTGAGATCCGTATTTGACTACAGAGACTTCTGTAGTGTTGGCAGGTCTGTCTGAATTGCAGAAGAGGACTTGGCCTGATAACGCTGCAAGTTAACGTTTCTTACACAAATTCCTTTTGAAACAACTCTTCTTGGAAAATCTAGTAAGCTAAAAAAAAAAGAAAAACCTTTCTGAACACCTCATCCGCCCTAATTGTCAATGTATTGATAGTTAAAGAAGAACATTGCTTGGCTTTATTCTAAATTATTTCATTTATTGAAATGTGCAATTTTTGAGGGTAACAG